CCCCCCCCTTTGTAATTAGACCTTTATAGTAAGCCCCTAACAATACAACTTGAGAAGCTATCGCTCTAAAAATGCGTAAATGTAATCTATATATAAGGAAGATAAAAGGCGAAGTAAACTTCTGCAGTTAGTTCTGGCTCGGTTACCCAACCCTTATCACATATGTCTTAAATGCAAAAATACCATTTGATAAGCTTTAAATGAGTTGAATTAAACATGGCTGGAATTCTGTCCCATGTGCAATATTTAACGTTGCCATTATTAAGCACTGTATTTGTTTTATCTTACTGATTAACTGTTGACTCTCTGACTAGTAGCTTGCATTATTACAAGAGCATGCAAGTGAAAAGTAGCTGCACGGTGTCATTTAAAACCAGGTTAGAATTTAAAAAAACAAAGGGAGACATGGCACTTGCAGAATCTTGTAATGCCTGTTAGTGTTGTTGTGTCAATCCATGCTTCCTTGAGGAATAACTTTTTTTTTTTCCTTTTTTTTTTCCCCTCCCCCGCTTTTAGATCATTTAACTGTAGCAGAGCCTGTGGCTGTACTGAAAGCAGATGAGGTATGGGGTGCTTTAAGAGGTAAGCCTTTTCCTATAGAGCTGTTTGTTCTGGGCTTATACAACTCCATGCCAGACTAAGAACCAGCTGGCCACTGAGCCTTGCCCTCATTTAGCCCTTCACTGGAAGTAAGCTTGGGCACAGAGGCCAGAAGGATACCCCAGATATGTGTTGGTCAGACCCTCAGTCTGGATGCTTAGCATCTCAGATCCAGTGGCACACCAGAAGTGCACTCCTGCCTGAAATCAGCCAAACCAACCAAATCCTCCACGCTAAAAAGCTCTCTGCAGTGTGAACAAATTATTCTCTGACTGCACCTAAGAACTGAACGTGGTGGACACTTCACCAAGAAGACGATGAGGCCGAAGTTTTAGTCTGCTGTTCTTACTGGAATGTTAATCTAAATTAGCAGATTTTTCATGCTGAATTAGAAGCTTCACCAGTTCCAGAAATGACAGGAATAGATGCATGGCAACATCAGACATTCCTGCCTTACATTCAGTCACTTCCGTACTCTTCGAGGATTGATTAGGTACAGCTGGGCTGTAGTGCTAATAATCAGTACTGGTGTGTACTGGAGAGCTTGAATGGTTCCCTCTTCAGAATGTCATTAAATGTGGTGCTTGAGCAATTAAGGAAACTGTGCTAGAGAGAAACTCCGCTACAAGCTAGGTATCTGAACACCTGTAGTTATGGTCCCTGCAGGTACTGGGTTGTACTGCAGATCCCTTTCTTGGATTTTTTTCCAGGTTTGGAAACCTTCAGCCAGTTGGTACATGAGGATGACTATGGAAGTGTAAGTATAACTGTTCACCTAAACCAGTCCTAACAACAGACAACCACATTCTTCATTAGGTGCTCTTCTAGCAGCAGCAGATCTACTGATTTCATTAGGTATCTTTTTCAGAAAATGATCCTTGGAAAACCATTAACAAACTGAAAAGTAACTATTTCCTTGTTGAAATGATGAATATAAAATGGGAATTCTAATTTTTAAATCTCATTCTCCTAGTTTCTTGTCAATGAATCTGAAATCTACGACTTCCCAAGATTTGCTCATAGAGGAATCTTACTAGACACGTCAAGGCATTATTTACCATTGAAATCTATTCTTACAAACCTGGTAAGTGGCAGTTTTGTGTCATGAATAATGAAGGCTTTCTACTGTTGTGTTTTACCCCCTGAAGTAGGTAGCAACTGGAGCTGGTATGACAGGAGAACCCACCTCCTCTGGCTGACTTCTAAAAGGACAGAGTGAACTGTCCTAAAAGGACTAAGTGAAGGTCAGAGCATCCACTGGAGAGAAATCTAGTGGACAGAGACAATGATTAGTGAGCCTGTAAAGAAGGCTGGGATTTGTGGTGCCTTGAGTTTTGTATATTTTCTGTTGCCTAAATCAGCTCACGTATTTTAAGGAGGCATGTTTTGAGACATCTGCCTGTCACCAAGCAGTACAGGGGAGACCTTGCAAATCCTGGCTTCAGTTGCCAGTGGTTGCTGGAAAATTCCAGTCTTTTCAATAACCGGGCTTCGGTAGTCCTTTCTTAGTCTGCTAAGAGGAAGCCCATTGTTAAGTAGTACAGAGCAAGGGGGCAAATTGGAAGTGTTTATTGGAAGCTACTGATTTTGTTCACCAAGTCCCTCCAAAAAGGTGAAAACCACAAACAAACAAACCAGCCCACAAAACTTTATCTGAAAAGCTTAAGTAGGCACTCTAGTAATTTTATACTCCCGCTTTGATGGGAAGGTGATGAATTTGGGTAAGCATAGCAGCCAAAGCTGTGTGGGGTTTTGTTTTGTTTTGTATGCCCCTTTTCTGCTGTTGAAATCCTTGTAGCAGGGTGTTGATTAATCTCAGCCAGCAACTAAGTACCACACAGCTGCTCGCTCACCTCCCTACCCTCCACCAGTGGAGGAGGAGAATTGGAGGAAAAGACAAACTCGTGGGTTGAGATAGGAACAATTTAATAATTGAAAGTAAATGAAATAAAACAATGATACCAATACTAATAATATGTAATGAAAATAATGGAAAAACCCCCATATGATACAGCCGCTCACCACCTGCTGACTGACTGAGAGTCAGAGCCAGAGAGAGAGAGAAAGTCCACCCCTGGCCCAACCTCCAACCCATATACTGGGCATGACATCTCATGCAGTGGAATACGCCTGTGGCCAGTCTGGGCCAGCCGTCCTGAGCGTGTCCCCTCCCAGCTTCTTGTAGTGAAGAGGCTGGGAACACAGGCACAGCACCAGGAACCGAAAAAGGCCCTGACTCGGTACAAACGCTCCGTGGCGACAGCTAAAAGCACCAGTGCAGTCAGTGCTCTTCCCCGCGCAAATCCGAAACACAGCCTCATTCATACCAGCCACTCTGAAGAAAACCAGCTCACAGGGCTCATTTGGTGGGTTGAAATGGGGAAGACTTTGAGTGGAGGTACATGGAGTTTCATAGTTTGTCTGTCTTGCTTTTCCACGATGAAATAGCTTTAGAAATTTCCCTTACATGTTGCAGAACTTAGCAGAGTGAGCTTATGGGCAGGAAGGAAGTGCAGGTAAAGCCAGTCTTAATTTCTGAGGTCATCCTTGAACTGTGCTCAGAATTTGCCCCTCCATGGGTATTTACCACTTGTATTTGCCTTCAAGATCAGTCCCTGTTCAGCAAGTAGTGTTTGTGTAGTGTTTCATTTACAGCTGAGGGTGCTTCAAAGACTGAAGCAGTCAGTTGTGTCAATATTTGTTGTCTTTTCTAAAAGAGACGATGTCCAAACAGTAAACTGACTTTTGAGACTTGCATTTCTAACCGTTCCTGTGTTTCTGCAACTGTTGCTATTCTGATGTATTTCCTTAAATTATGTCTGTGGCTCTAATACCTTCCCAGGGCTACATTTTACGACGTTTTGCTGGTGTAAGAACACGTACATGTTTCCTCCCACCTCTGTGCCTGCTTGAATCCAGGCTAACCTAATGAAAAGCAGCAATAATCCCTTCACTGACAAGTGTTAAGTAGATACTTACGACAGCAGTTCAGGTCCATTTCTTGTTTGTGTTCAGCTGCTGTACTGTATTTCCGGGAAGGTCATTGTCCTTGAGGAAGGAGTGGCTGAGGTGAAGGTTAGGAGATATTATTTTCCATGTGGAAAGATGGAAATGCAGGAAGATGTGTGGTAATTAAAACTTCTGCTGAACAGATGAGATAATTTGGGGGAAATGACATGGCATAAATCTTCCTTTGGGTTTGGTGGTAGTTCCTGAAGAGGTTTTATTGCTTCTTTCAACACAGGTTGGTGGGGGGGGGGAAAAAAAAAAGGCAGGGGTGGAAATAATTATGTTGTGGAAAGAGCTTGGAAGCAATTGTGTTGCAATTACTTGGTCCTGAACAATGTAGAGAACATTTACTCGGTCTGCTTATAGCACACGAAAAATGCTAGTGACTCTTAACAAACGTGCGTAATTCAGACTATGCGTGTAACTATCTGGAGTCATAATTCTCTAAAATAAGTGTGTTGGCATTTATCTTGAGTATCTTCAAGTTCAAAAAAGGGAAGTACTGACACTGATGACTGAAAGAAGGCGAATGCTATTTTCTGTGGGGAAAATGCGTGATTTATTTTGCATGCATTTGAAATGGATTCTGCAGAATTCACTGGCAGTTAGGGGTGTACTAAATGGGAAACTCATGCTGTTTAGTTTTTGAGTTCAAAGTGATGAAGCAGAAAAGTACAAGCTTTTCTGTGAGCTGAAACAGCTGATGGTGCATAGAGAATTGCCTAGATATGTTCTGAAGTGGAAGAAATTCATAAGCACTTCCCTTAAAAGGGAGTAGTTCCCCTTTTACCAGCCGGTGGAGCAAGATCAGACCACGGGCTTGTTGACAGGAGTGGTGCAAACAGATGGCAGAGGAATGGAGCAGTAGTAGAAACAGCCTGGTGCATTTTGGTGTATGCTTCTAGGATTTGGTGAAACATGGTGCACTTTTTCTTTGGTTGTGTGGGTTTTTCTTTTTCAGTTGCTTTAGGCATGTGGGATATACTGGGACAAGACCACCTTTTTTGCGTAGGTTCTCTGTAAGAGTGAAGTGCTTGACTAGACTGTATTACATTATTTGTTACAGGATGCCATGGCTTTTAACAAGTTCAATGTTCTCCACTGGCATATAGTAGACGATCAGTCGTTCCCTTACCAGAGTATTTATTTCCCTGAGCTAAGTGACAAGGTGAGTAAACGTCATCGGAGCAGGGTGGGAAGGCAAAAGTCTGGCACGTGTTTGGTAAAAATAAAATGCAGAGCCTACCAATGGTTGAATACATCTGCCTTGGCTAATTGTGAAGCAGTACCAGAGGACCAATAACCAGCAAGGCCACATTTTAGGGCCCTACCTGTGTGTCTTTGTGGACCATGTTCAAGTCTTTCTTGGTGGATGACCTTCCTAATTCTTCTGTGCAAATTTGTGGTGACTGTGATCCTCAGTGTTTGCAGTCTTTCAAAGCAGTAGTGGTGTACGAATAACCTCTTGTGGTGAACACTGCTTAAATTTCTTTCTCTTTGTTTAACTGGTGGACTTCCTGCTGTCCAGGAATAATAAATGCAAGAGAATTTCCTGTAAGCTCTAGGTTCGGAACTGCTGTGGCAGTACTTCTGCCCTTTCTGAGATTTAATAAACTTTACAAAACACAACATGTCTGTAAGAAGTCCAAAAGTGAGACGTTCTGTTCTAAAACAAATACAGTGCAATGTGTCTCCTTATTTCCTGATTCACAGCAGGTTTTAATTAAGGAAAGCCATCATGAGGTTCTTGCTCAGTCGTGGGTTGGTAGTAGCCACATCAAGCATGAATAATTTAAATAGACTGAGCCTAAGCACAAGATTTGTGATTCTGTTTTAAAACGCTTGCTAGAATCTGGTCCTCATGAAAATGAGGTAGGCAGTGCTTGAGCAGCTGCTGTGAAGGATTCGTAATTGAAAAATTGTAGATGCTGGATGGTGCAGTCAGATTACTTTTCCTAATAATGGTTGTGGAATTCTGTCCTGTTCGCCAGTGATGAAGAGGGAAATGGCCTTTGTCCCTAGCCTTCTTTTTAAAAGGCTTCTTGTTTACTGTATCTCTTTTTTTGAGTATCTCAGCTGTGGAAACCATTTCCAGATAAATAGCAGTTTAAGGTGCTGTCAATCATGAGGAGTCACGATGCTTTTCTGATACGGTTTGTCTCTTTGGCATGCATCTGTTTCACCAAACTGTAGCAGTCTGGGTCATTTGTCACATTTGTTGGCTGTGTGGGAGTGGAATAATGCTCAAATTTAGTGTCACAAAGCAAACACACCCTGACGCTAAATTGGGCATTGTCTCAAAACAGACAAGCAGAGGTGTTGGAAGAAGACGCCATTCTTTCTGGCTTGGCAGAATTTTTCCATTAGTCTTGCATGTCATGTAGCAAGGGCCCTGTGTTTCAGAAGTAATGACGCAGAGGTGGAGTGGAAAACTAATTTGTACAGAAGAATTGAAAAATGTATCTTTTATAAACCTGATGGAATAGAAGCTATTTTTCTGTTTTCTTCAATAACTGAGCTAAGGAGGAAAGGATGGTCTCCTCGGGAGATATGTCTGAGTGTCGAAAAAAGGGTTAATTTTTATGTTGGACCCCACCCCGGTAACAGAATAGTTCTGTCAGTGCAGTTGTACATGTGATAAACAATTGAGACCAACTTGTAAAACTGCTCTACAGCGTGTCTTGTAACACTTTAATCGCAATTTTGTGAGCCACTGTTATTTTGTAAACTGTCTCTACATGTGAATACTTTGCAGGGAGCCTACTCCTATAACCACATCTACACTCCTACTGATGTCCATCTGGTGATTGAATATGCTCGGTTAAGAGGCATTAGAGTTATCCCAGAGTTTGATACCCCAGGACACACACAGTCTTGGGGAAAAGGTATGTCCAAGAAATTGATAATGGTAAGTAGCAAGCAAATGAACTTGTTAAAAAGCAGCCTTTAAAGTGCAAGGCCCTTGGTAAGAGGTAAGCAAGGAGCAGACTTGACGATGGTCATGACCTGTACATCCTGGAGGAACTGAAGTGAACAAACCAAGCTGGTGCTTGCTGTGCTGGATTTGTTGAAGGCACAGATACACTCTGTTTGCCGTGGGCTTTGGATGTTGTGGTTAATCTCCCATCCAGTGCTCCTGAGGTTAGAGTAGTAAGGCAGTGGCTAGAAATAGTGAGTTGCTGACTCTAGAGTAGAGATTTCTGCTTTGGGAAGGTTCTTTCAAAGTGAATGGCGTTTCTATTAGTAAAATGGTAATTTGCCAGCGTACAAAACACAGCAACGTTGGATGCTTTTTCGCTCTCTGTCTTTTGAGTAATACTTCTTTTGACAGAGCATGCTTGAATCCTGAGAGCGGTGGTGGTTACATATACTCAAGGACCAGGGAACCTTGTGCCTTAATTCAGGGTGCACTGAGTGGGATTTCACTGCGGTCACTGTAATTCATGTAAGATGGTTTTGGCCAAACTGGAAGTAGTGAAGATTTTTTCTAGTGCTTCATAGCTAAAGTTTTAGCCATGGGGCAAGTCTCGTGCTCATCCTGTGGGGTTGTGGAAGATGTTGGAAGGTGCCTCAGGCTCTTTCTCACTAATTTGAGGAGGAAAGGAACAAGGCAAAACCTGAATTTGCTAAACAGTATTTCTGAATCCTTTATCTCATGTGGTCTTTGCTGTTACAGAGCACTAATAAGAGCCAGTGGCTTGCCTGTGGGGTAGTCTACATTCATATTAAGAGCATGGTTCAGCTCCCTTGCCTAAATCAATTGTTCCTTCTTTTATAACAGCGTTTTTTTTTTAACGTGATGCACAGGAGCGTGTCCTGGCTTTGCCTGTGAACCTGGGTAGCTATGCTTTGTTTGCCTTAAAATTCCACATACTGGAGAGAAGTGTTAAGGCATGCGAGGAGGGTAGTTGAAGCAATCTACCACCAGGGAAGGCCCTGTTTGGGGGGAAAATGTGCTTGGAGTAGGAAACAAACAGCCAGGAAGGTGCTGCTCCTGCAATGACAGTTTACCAAATAAACTGAACTTGGGAATCTCCAACCTATTGATAACTACTGTTTTGTTATCCTGGCTCACATTGCTTCAGATACTAAGAACCAGTGCTCAGTTTTGATGTCTCTGCCTAGCCTTCCTTTCTTGTGTAGAGGTAAACTCCTATCAGACTGAGGTGGGACATCTACCTGGAGCCATATACTTCCCCCTACTTAGCTGTTAACAAAGCACACTAATAGAAAAAGAGGCCTCTGGAGCACTCTCACTATATTTTACTTTCTTCTAATTGGCTTTCTTGCTAAATCCATTAAAGCTTTTTTATTCAAGCAGTCATCAGAAGCTGCTTTCCAGGTATAGTGACATGTTCCATAAATCACTGTGCGTTAAATCACAAATCTGAGTTCTGATTTCCAGTTAGAGGGTTCTTCAGCCTTGGGCCAGTTGTTTTATTTCATCCTACCTCTGTTTGATTATACTTAGAGCAGATGAGCACTTAAGCACTGAATATACTCTATTAATTGTTTCTATTAGGTCAAAAAGATCTTCTCACCCCTTGTTACAATGGAGAACAGCCAACTGGGTCCTTTGGACCTGTAAATCCCATTTTGAATACAACTTATGACTTCATGACTAAATTCTTCAAAGAAATCAGCAGTGTATTTCCAGATGCATACATTCATTTGGGAGGAGATGAAGTGAACTTCGATTGTTGGTATGGTGACAGTTCAAAGATTAAGTGCCTAGTGCCTCTTAAACTCGCCTAAATCTGTCAGTTACAGAACTCGATTGGGACAGTTTCCACTGCTTAACCCAAGGATCTCCACTCCTACTTCTGCAACTATTTACAGGCAGAGTGCTTGTGATCTTTAGCAAGCAACTGATTTTGTGCAGAATTTTACTTTGACTAGTTTCACAAATGTTTGGGTACTCCTAAAGGATTCATTTAGGAAAATTAACCTGGTAAGACGGAGAACTAGGTAGGAAAGTGCTATTTAAGATAATTAACATTTAAATGCTTTCTGTTAAAGAAAAAAGCAGTTCTTTCCATTGAGTTCTGCCTTCCAGAAAATCTGCTAACATTAAGTATTACAGTACTGACTCTTGTGTGCTTGAATTAAAATGAGGCATTAATACAGTTTTTCAATTGGTTGTCGATTTTTAATACTTTGGAGTCTCTGCTGGAGTAACTAATAACAGAATTTGGAGCAGATCTAATTGAATGAGTATTCAACTTAATCTAGTTAGTATCTGTGTGTTCTCTTGAAACATCGTATCTCAACACTCAAGACTTGCTTTGATTTTTAAAAAGAAAGAAAATTTCTGGCAAGTGCTTTATGACAGAAATGTGGGCTTGCTTTTCGGGTACTTTCCCAAATTCTTGATGTCACTCCCGCAGATCCTCTGGTATTATGGCTGCTCAGTTTCCAGACCTGCTGGCATCCTACCCACAAAGCTGCAGAGAAGCCAGGAACCCCAGGGCTCTTAAGAGCTTGAGGCAGCCTGCCAGAGGCTGCTTTAGAACAGGGACTCCAGTACTTCTGCCACAGAACTATTGGTTTTCTCTCAAAATACATAAATGATGTTAGCCTGCTGTTTCTGCTCTGTTGTGTATTTCAGGGTTGTGTGCTGTGCATCGGTGGGAATGGTTAGGAAATCTGCTTTAGTAACAGAACTACTACTAAAAAAAAAAAAAAAGGAAAGAAAATAACAATTTTGTTTGTTTATTATTTAAGGAAATCTAACCCTGAAGTGAAAGAGTTCATGAAGAAGCAAGAATTTGGATTTGACTATGCTAAATTGGAGTCTTACTATATTCAGAAGTATGATTTTTTTTTTTTTTTTTACTCTTG